CGCACAGCTGGTGCAGTACTTCTTCTACAAGGTACTACTACCACTACTACTAGTACTACTACTAGTACTACAACTAGTACTACCACTACTACTACTACCACCACCTCTACTACGTACGCATCGCACAGCTGGTGCAGTACTTCTTCTACAAGGTACTACTACCACTACTACTAGTACTACTACTACTAGTACTACTACCACCTCTACTACGTACGCATCGCACAGCTGGTGCAGTACTTCTTCTACAAGGTACTACTACCACTACTACTAGTACTACTACTACTAGTACTACTACCACCTGTACTACGTACGCATCGCACAGCTGGTGCAGTACTTCTTCTACAAGGTACCACTACTACCACTACTACTACTAGTATTAGTACCACTACTACTACCACTACTACCACCTCTACTACTACTACCACCTGTACTACGTACGCATCGCACAGCTGGTGCAGTACTTCTTCTACAAGGTACCACTACTACCACTAGTACTACTACTAGTACTAGTACCACTACTACTACCACTACTACTACCAACTGTACTACGTACGCATCGCACAGCTGGTGCAGTACTTCTTCTACAAGGTACCACTACTAGTACTAGTACCACTACTACTAGTACTACTACTACTACCACCTGTACTACGTACGCATCGCACAGCTGGTGCAGTACTTCTTCTACAAGGTACCACTACTACTAGTACTAGTACCACTACTAGTACTACAACTAGTACTACCACTACTACCACTACTACCACCTGTACTACGTACGCATCGCACAGCTGGTGCAGTACTTCTTCTACAAGGTACTACTACCACTAGTACTAGTACCACTACTAGTACTACAACTAGTACTACCACTACTACTACTACCACCACCTCTACTACGTACGCATCGCACAGCTGGTGCAGTACTTCTTCTACAAGGTACTACTACCACTACTACTAGTACCACTACTAGTACTACAACTAGTACTACCACTACTACTACCACCTCTACTACGTACGCATCGCACAGCTGGTGCAGTACTTCTTCTACAAGGTACTACTACCACTAGTACTAGTACCACTACTAGTACTACAACTAGTACTACCACTACTACTACTACCACCACCTCTACTACGTACGCATCGCACAGCTGGTGCAGTACTTCTTCTACAAGGTACTACTACCACTAGTACTAGTACCACTACTAGTACTACAACTAGTACTACCACTACTACTACTACCACCACCTCTACTACGTACGCATCGCACAGCTGGTGCAGTACTTCTTCTACAAGGTACTACTACCACTAGTACTAGTACCACTACTAGTACTAGTACCACTACTACTAGTACTACCACTACTACCACCTGTACTACGTACGCATCGCACAGCTGGTGCAGTACTTCTTCTACAAGGTACTACTACCACTAGTACTAGTACCACTACTAGTACTACAACTAGTACTACCACTACTACTACTAGCACCACCTCTACTACGTACGCATCGCACAGCTGGTGCAGTACTTCTTCTACAAGGTACTACTAGTACCACTACTAGTACTAGTACCACTACTACTACTACCACTACTACTACTACCACCTCTACTACGTACGCATCGCACAGCTGGTGCAGTACTTCTTCTACAAGGTACTACTACCACTAGTACTAGTACCACTACTAGTACTAGTACCACTACTACTAGTACTACCACTACTACCACCTGTACTACGTACGCATCGCACAGCTGGTGCAGTACTTCTTCTACAAGGTACTACTACTACCACTAGTACTAGTACCACTACTAGTACTACAACTAGTACTACCACTACTACCACTACTACCACCTCTACTACGTACGCATCGCACAGCTGGTGCAGTACTTCTTCTACAAGGTACTACTACTACCACTAGTACTACTAGTATTAGTACCACTACTACTACCACTACTACCACCTCTACTACTACTACCACCTGTACTACGTACGCATCGCACAGCTGGTGCAGTACTTCTTCTACAAGGTACTACTACTACCACTAGTACTACTACTAGTACCACTACTACTACCACTACTACTACCACCTGTACTACGTACGCATCGCACAGCTGGTGCAGTACTTCTTCTACAAGGTACTACTACCACTACTAGTACTAGTACCACTACTACTACCACTACTACCACCTCTACTACGTACGCATCGCACAGCTGGTGCAGTACTTCTTCTACAAGGTACCACTACTAGTACTACTACTAGTACTAGTACCACTACTACTACTACCACTACTACTACCACCTGTACTACGTACGCATCGCACAGCTGGTGCAGTACTTCTTCTACAAGGTACCACTACTACCACTAGTACTACTAGTACTACTAGTACCACTACCACTACTACCACCTCTACTACTACTACCACCTGTACTACGTACGCATCGCACAGCTGGTGCAGTACTTCTTCTACAAGGTACTACTAGTACCACTAGTACTACTAGTACTACTAGTACTACCACTACCACCACCTGTACTACGTACGCATCGCACAGCTGGTGCAGTACTTCTTCTACAAGGTACTACTACTACCACTAGTACTAGTACTACTACTACCACTAGTACTACTACTACCACCTGTACTACGTACGCATCGCACAGCTGGTGCAGTACTTCTTCTACAAGGTACCACTAGTACCACTAGTACTACTACTAGTACTAGTACCACTACTACTAGTACTACCACTACTACCACCTGTACTACGTACGCATCGCACAGCTGGTGCAGTACTTCTTCTACAAGGTACTACTACTACCACTAGTACTACCACTACTACTACCACTACTACTACCACTACCACCACCTGTACTACGTACGCATCGCACAGCTGGTGCAGTACTTCTTCTACAAGGTACTACTACTAGTACTACTACTACTAGTACTACCACTACTACCACCTGTACTACGTACGCATTGCACAGCTGGTGCAGTACTTCTTCTACAAGGTACTACTACCACTAGTACTAGTACCACTACTAGTACTACAACTAGTACTACCACTACTACTACTACTACCACCTGTACTACGTACGCATCGCACAGCTGGTGCAGTACTTCTTTTACAAGGTACTACTACCACTAGTACTAGTACCACTACTAGTACTACAACTAGTACTACCACTACTACTACTACCACCACCTCTACTACGTACGCATCGCACAGCTGGTGCAGTACTTCTTCTACAAGGTACCACTACTACCACTAGTACTAGTACCACTACTAGTACTACAACTAGTACTACCACTACTACTACTACTACCACCTCTACTACGTACGCATCGCACAGCTGGTGCAGTACTTCTTCTACAAGGTACCACTACTACTAGTACTAGTACCACTACTAGTACTACCACTACTACTACCACTACTACTACCACTACTACTACTACCACCACCTCTACTACGTACGCATCGCACAGCTGGTGCAGTACTTCTTCTACAAGGTACTACTACCACTACTACTAGTACCACTACTAGTACTACAACTAGTACTACCACTACTACCACCACCTCTACTACGTACGCATCGCACAGCTGGTGCAGTACTTCTTCTACAAGGTACTACTACCACTAGTACTAGTACCACTACTAGTACTAGTACCACTACTACTAGTACTACCACTACTACCACCTGTACTACGTACGCATCGCACAGCTGGTGCAGTACTTCTTCTACAAGGTACTACTACTACCACTAGTACTAGTACCACTACTAGTACTACAACTAGTACTACCACTACTACCACTACTACCACCTCTACTACGTACGCATCGCACAGCTGGTGCAGTACTTCTTCTACAAGGTACTACTAGTACTAGTACCACTACTAGTACTACAACTAGTACTACCACTACTACTACTACCACCACCTCTACTACGTACGCATCGCACAGCTGGTGCAGTACTTCTTCTACAAGGTACCACTACTACCACTAGTACTAGTACCACTACTAGTACTACAACTAGTACTACCACTACTACCACCTCTACTACGTACGCATCGCACAGCTGGTGCAGTACTTCTTCTACAAGGTACCACTACTAGTAGTACTAGTACCACTACTAGTACTACAACTAGTACTACTACCACTACTACTACTACCACTACTACTACTACCACTACAACTACTACCACTACTACTACCACTACTACTACCACTACTACCACCTCTACTACTACTACCACCTGTACTACGTACGCATCGCACAGCTGGTGCAGTACTTCTTCTACAAGGTACCACTACTACCACTAGTACTAGTACCACTACTAGTACTACAACTAGTACCACCACTACCACTACTACTACCACCTGTACTACGTACGCATCGCACAGCTGGTGCAGTACTTCTTCTACAAGGTACTACTACCACTAGTACTAGTACCACTACTAGTACTACAACTAGTACTACCACTACTACCACTACTACCACCTCTACTACGTACGCATCGCACAGCTGGTGCAGTACTTCTTCTACAAGGTACTACTACCACTAGTACTAGTACCACTACTAGTACTACAACTAGTACTACCACTACTACTACTACCACCACCTCTACTACGTACGCATCGCACAGCTGGTGCAGTACTTCTTCTACAAGGTACCACTACTACCACTAGTACTAGTACCACTACTAGTACTAAAACTAGTACTACCACTACTACCACCTCTACTATGTACGCATCGCACAGCTGGTGCAGTACTTCTTCTACAAGGTACCACTACTAGTAGTACTAGTACCACTACTAGTACTACAACTAGTACTACTACCACTACTACTACTACCACTACTACTACTACCACTACAACTACTACCACTACTACTACCACTACTACTACCACTACTACCACCTCTACTACTACTACCACCTGTACTACGTACGCATCGCACAGCTGGTGCAGTACTTCTTCTACAAGGTACCACTACTACCACTAGTACTAGTACCACTACTAGTACTACAACTAGTACCACCACTACCACTACTTCCACCACCTGTACTACGTACGCATCGCACAGCTGGTGCAGTACTTCTTCTACAATGTACTACTACCACTAGTACTAGTACCACTACTAGTACTACTAGTACCACTACTACCACCTCTACTACTACTACCACCTGTACTACGTACGCATTGCACAGCTGGTGCAGTACTTCTTCTACAAGGTACTACTACCACTAGTACTAGTACCACTACTAGTACTACAACTAGTACTACCACTACTACTACTTCCACCACCTCTACTACGTACGCATCGCACAGCTGGTGCAGTACTTCTTCTACAAGGTACTACTACCACTAGTACTAGTACCACTACTAGTACTACAACTAGTACTACCACTACTACGACTACCACCACCTCTACTACGTACGCATCGCACAGCTGGTGCAGTGCTTCTTCTACAAGGTACTACTACCACTAGTACTAGTACCACTACTAGTACTACAACTAGTACTACCACTACTACCACTACTACCACCTCTACTACGTACGCATCGCACAGCTGGTGCAGTACTTCTTCTACAAGGTACTACTACTACCACTAGTACTACTACTACTACCACTACTACTACCACTACTACTACCACCTGTACTACGTACGCATCGCACAGCTGGTGCAGTACTTCTTCTACAAGGTACTACTACCACTAGTACTAGTACTACTAGTACCACTACCACTACTACCACCTCTACTACTACTACCACCTGTACTACGTACGCATCGCACAGCTGGTGCAGTACTTCTTCTACAAGGTACTACTACTACAACTACTACTACTACTAGTACTAGTACCACTACTAGTACTAGTACCACTACTACCACTACTACCACCTCTACTACGTACGCATCGCACAGCTGGTGCAGTACTTCTTCTACAAGGTACTACTACCACTAGTACTAGTACTACTAGTACCACTACCACTACTACCACCTCTACTACTACTACCACCTGTACTACGTACGCATCGCACAGCTGGTGCAGTACTTCTTCTACAAGGTACTACTACTACCACTAGTACTACTACTAGTACTAGTACCACTACTAGTACTACAACTAGTACTACCACTACTACCACTACTACCACCTCTACTACGTACGCATCGCACAGCTGGTGCAGTACTTCTTCTACAAGGTACTACTACCACTACTAGTACTACTACTACTAGTACTAGTACCACTACTACTACCACTACTACTAGTACTACAACTAGTACTACCACTACTACTACTACCACCACCTGTACTACGTACGCATCGCACAGCTGGTGCAGTACTTCTTCTACAAGGTACCACTACTACCACTAGTACTAGTACCACTACTAGTACTACAACTAGTACTACCACTACTACCACTACTACCACCTCTACTACGTACGCATCGCACAGCTGGTGCAGTACTTCTTCTACAAGGTACTACTACCACTAGTACTAGTACTACTAGTACCACTACCACTACTACCACCTCTACTACTACTACCACCTGTACTACGTACGCATCGCACAGCTGGTGCAGTACTTCTTCTACAAGGTACTACTACTACCACTAGTACTACTACTAGTACTAGTACCACTACTAGTACTACAACTAGTACTACCACTACTACCACTACTACCACCTCTACTACGTACGCATCGCACAGCTGGTGCAGTACTTCTTCTACAAGGTACTACTACCACTACTAGTACTACTAGTACTAGTACCACTACTGCTACCACTACTACTAGTACTACAACTAGTACTACCACTACTACTACTACCACCACCTGTACTACGTACGCATCGCACAGCTGGTGCAGTACTTCTTCTACAAGGTACCACTACTACCACTAGTACTAGTACCACTACTAGTACTACAACTAGTACTACCACTACTACCACTACTACCACCTCTACTACGTACGCATCGCACAGCTGGTGCAGTACTTCTTCTACAAGGTACTACTACCACTAGTACTACTAGTACTACCACTACTACTACCACTAGTACTAGTACTACTACCACCTGTACTACGTACGCATCGCACAGCTGGTGCAGTACTTCTTCTACAAGGTACTACTAGTACTACAACTAGTACTACTACCACTACTACTACTACCACTACTACTACTACCACTACAACTACTACCACTACTACTACCACTACTACTACCACCACTACTACCACTACCACTACTACCACTACAACTACTACCACTACTAATACCAATACTATTCCTTCCACTGCTACTACCACTACTACTACTATCACCACTACTACCACTACAACTATCACTACTACCACTACTACTACCACTACTACTACCACTACTACTACCACTACAACTACCACTACTACAACTACCACTACTACTACCACCACTACTACCACTACCACCACTACTACTACCACTACTACCACTACTACTACTACCACTACTACTAGTATCACCACTACTACCACTACAACTACCACTACTACCACCACTACCACTACTACCACCACTACAACCACTACCACCACCACGACTGCCACTACTACTACCACTACCACCACTACCATCACCACTACTACCACCACTACCACCACCACTACCACCACTACTACCACTACCACGGCTACCACCACTACCACCACTACCACCATTACCCACTACAACTACTACCACCACTACTACCACCACTACTACCACTACCACCACTACTACCACTACTACTACCACTACCACCACCACTACTACCACTACCACCACTACTACCACTACCACCACTACTACCACTACCACCACTACTACCACTACTACCACTACTACCACTACCACCACTACTACCACTATCACCACTACGACCACCACTACCACCTCTACCGTCAGTACCATCACCACCATCACCACCACCATCACCACCAGGACCACCACCAGGACCACTACCACCACTACCATCACCACCATCACCACCACCATCACCACCACCATCACCACCAGGACCACCACCAGGACCACCACCAGGACCACTACCACCACTACCACCACCACCACCAGGACCACCACCACCACTACCACCACCACTGCTGTTACCCGCCGTCTTTGCGACCCAGTGACCCACTGGGTAGTGGGGGGTGGTAGTGGTGGTAGTGGTGGTGTTGTTGGTAGTGTTAGTCGTAGTGGTAATTGTGGTAGTGGTGGTGGTGGTCGTTTAGATGGTAGTGGTGGTGGGTAGTTGTGGGGAGCGGTAGTGCAGCGGTTAGCGCTACGCTGCGCTACGAACCTGGCGACCCGGGGTTCGATTCCCGCTGACGGCCAACACCAGTGACGATTATCTGAACCGGTCCTGGGCCTCCCCTAGGTCGACTCGGCTACAAATGAGTACCTGGTGTAGCGGTGTGAAGTAGTAAACATCGCCACTGGGGAGACAAAGGCGGCCGGGCGTGGTGCTGGTAGCCACCCACCCTCTCGTGTGCCACAGTGCCGGCAGCCTTCACAGGTGCTGCTCGCTAACAGCACTTGCCCCTGCAGTCTGGTGAGGCTACATGGGGGACCTTTGTCTTTGTGCGTGTGTTGGGTACAGAACGTCTGCTTCATGACTCCACAGTTTCTCTTCCAATTCTACTGCGGATTCTCTCACCAGGTGAGTGGCCTCACTCACCACCCCCCGACCATGCCTAGGCCTCACCCCCTACTTTGCCTAGGCCTCACCCCTATGCCTAGACCTCACCCCCCTACTTTGCCTAGGCCTCACCCCTATGCCTAGGCCTCACCCCCCTACTTTGCCTAGGCCTCACCCCTATGCCTAGACCTCACCCCCCTATGCCTAGGCCTCACCCCTATGCCTAGACCTCACCCCCCTATGCCTAGGCCTCACCCCTATGCCTAGGCCTCACCCCCCTACTTTGCCTAGGCCTCACCATCCTATGCCTAGACCTCACCCCCCTATGCCTAGGCCTCACCCCTATGCCTAGACCCTCACCCCTATGCCTAGACCTCACCATCTACAATCTGTGTGTGTGTGTGTGGGGTCTGCTAGATGCTGTACGACAGCATCTACCACACCATCTACAATCTGTGTGTGTGTGTGTGGTGTCTGCTAGACGCTCTATGACAGCTCCTACCTCACCATCTACAATCTGTGTGTGTGTGGTGTCTGCTAGACGCTGTACCACAGCTCCTACCACACCATCTACAATCTGTGTGTGTGTGTGGTGTCTGCTTGACGCTGTACGACAGCTCCTACCACACCATCTACAATCTGTGTGTGTGTGGTGTCTGCTAGACGCTCTATGACAGCTCCTACCTCACCATCTACAATCTGTGTGTGTGTGGTGTCTGCTAGACGCTCTATGACAGCTCCTACCACACCATCTACAATCTGTGTGTGTGTGGTGTCTGCTAGACGCTCTATGACAGCTCCTACCACACCATCTACAATCTGTGTGTGTGTGGTGTCTGCTAGACGCTCTATGACAGCTCCTACCTCACCATCTACAATCTGTGTGTGTGGTGTCTGCTAGACGCTGTATGACAGCTCCTACCACACCATCTACAATCTGTGTGTGTGTGTGTGGTGTCTGCTAGACGCTCTATGACAGCTCCTACCTCACCATCTACAATCTGTGTGTGTGTGGTGTCTGCTAGACGCTGTACCACAGCTCCTACCTCACCATCTACAATCTGTGTGTGTGTGTGGTGTCTGCTAGACGCTCTATGACAGCTCCTACCACACCATCTACAATCTGTGTGTGTGTGGTGTCTGTTAGACGCTCTATGACAGCTCCTACCTCACCATCTACAATCTGTGTGTGTGTGTGTGGTGTCTGCTAGACGCTGTACGACAACTCCTACCACACCATCTACAATCTGTGTGTGTGTGTGTGGTGTCTGCTAGACGCTGTACCACAGCTCCTACCACACCATCTACAATCTGTGTGTGTGTGGTGTCTGCTAGACGCTGTATGACAGCTCCTACCACACCATCTACAATCTGTGTGTGTGTGGTGTCTGCTAGACGCTGCACGATAGCTCCTACCACACCATCTACAATCTGTGTGTGTGTGTGTGGTGTCTGCTAGACGCTCTATGACAGCTCCTACCACACCATCTGCAATCTGTGTGTGTGTGGTGTCTGGTAGACGCTTTAAGACAGCTCCTACCACACCATCTACAATCTGTGTGTGTGTGGTGTCTGCTAGACGCTGTACGATAGCTCCTACCACACCATCTACAATCTGTGTGTGTGTGGTGTCTGCTAGACGCTCTATGACAGCTCCTACCTCACCATCTACAATCTGTGTGTGTGTGGTGTCTGCTAGACGCTCTATGACAGCTCCTACCACACCATCTACAATCTGTGTGTGTGTGTGTGGTGTCTGCTAGACGCTCTATGACAGCTCCTACCTCACCATCTACAATCTGTGTGTGTGTGGTGTCTGCTAGACGCTCTATGACAGCTCCTACCACACCATCTACAATCTGTGTGTGTGTGTGTGGTGTCTGCTAGACGCTCTATGACAGCTCCTACCACACCATCTACAATCTGTGTGTGTGGTGTCTGCTAGACGCTCTATGACAGCTTCTACCACACCATCTACAATCTGTGTGTGTGTGTGGTGTCTGCTAGACGCTGTACGATAGCTCCTACCTCACCATCTACAATCTGTGTGTGTGTGTGTGGTGTCTGCTAGACGCTCTATGACAGCTCCTACCACACCATCTACAATCTGTGTGTGTGTGGTGTCTGCTAGACGCTCTATGACAGCTCCTACCACACCATCTACAATCTGTGTGTGTGTGTGGTGTCTGGTAGACGCTCTATGACAGCTCCTACCTCACCATCTACAATCTGTGCTTCACCTCGCTGCCCATCCTGGCCTACGGCCTGCTGGAGCAGCAGCGCAGCATGGCCCAGCTGGAGAGGCGACCCGCCCTCTACAGGTACCTGTGTGTGTGTGTGTTTGTACCTGTGTGTGTGTACCTGTGTGTGTACCTGTGTGTGTGTGTACCTGTGTGTGTACCTGTGTGTGTGTGTACCTGTGTGTGTGTACCTGTGTGTGTACCTGTGTGTGTGTGTACCTGTGTGTGTGTGTACCTGTGTGTGTGTACCTGTGTGTGTGTACCTGTGTGTGTGTAACTTTGTGCGTGTGTATCTATGTGTGTGGGTACCTGTGTGTGTGTGTACCTGTGTGTGTGTGTACCTGTGTGTGTACCTGTGTGTGTGTACATGTGTGTGTGTACCTGTGTGTGTGTACCTGTGTGTGTGTGTGTACCTGTGTGTGTGTGTACCTGTGTGTGTGTGTGTACCTGTGTGTGTGTGTGTGTACCTGTGTGTGTGTACCTGTGTGTGTGTGTGTACCTGTGTGTGTGTGTGTACCTGTGTGTGTGTGTGTACCTGTGTGTGTGTGTACCTGTGTGTGTGCGTACCTGTGTGTGTGCGTACCTGTGTGTGTGTAACTTTGTGCGTGTGTATCTATGTGTGTGTACATGTGTGTGTACCTGTGTGTGTGTGTGTACCTGTGTGTGTACCTGTGTGTGTGTGTACCTGTGTGTGTGTACCTGTGTGTGTGTACCTGTGTGTGTACCTGTGTGTGTGTACCTGTGTGTGTGTACCTGTGTGTGTACCTGTGTGTGTGTGTGCCTGTGTGTGTACCTGCGTGTGTACCTGTGTGTGTGTGTACCTGTGTGTGTGTACCTGTGTGTGTGTGTGTACCTGTGTGTGTGTGTGTACCTGTGTGTGTGTGTGTGGGGAGCGGTAGTGTAGCGGTTAGCGCACTGCGCTATGAACCTGGCGACCCGGGTTCGATTCCCGCTCACGGCCAACACCAGTGACGATTATCTGAACCGGTCCCGGGCCTCCCCTAGGTAGACTCAGCCTCAAATGAGTACCTGGTGCGGTGTGTAAACATTGCCACTAGGGAGACAAAGGCGGTCGGGCGTGGTGCTGGCCACCCACCCCCTCGTGTACCGTTCTGGCCTTCATAGGTGCTCGCTAACAGCACTTGCCCCTACAGTCTGTTAAGGCTATATGGGGGATCTTTGTGTGTGTGTGTTAGTGTGTGTGTGTGTACCTGTGTGTGTGTGTACCTGTGTGTGTGTGTACCTGCGTGTGTACCCGTGTGTGTGTGTACGTGTATGTGTGTGTGTACGTGACGTCACCGCCACTTAGTGGCGAATGGCGGTTGTTGTTGTTGTGTCTATGTGTATGTATGTGTCTATATACGTGTGTACGTGTGTGTGTGTGTATGTCTGTACGTGTGTGTATGTGTGTATGTACGTGTGTGTGTACGTGTGTATGTATGTGTGTGTATGTGTGTGTACGGATGGCCACGTGGAATGTTCGAACACTCACTGCGGAGGAGAGGCTGCCACTCCTCTGTCGGGAGCTGGACCGGTACCGCCTGGATCTCTTTGGCATTCAGGAGGTCCGGTGGACCGGTTCTGGCTCCTGCCACCATGAGGGGTGGACAGTCCTCTACTCGGGGCAGCAGACTGCCAAACAACAGGGTGTGGCTCTTCTTTTGAACAAAAGAATGAAGGGGACGTGGGAGCGCAGCGGTGAGGTGTGGGAAGCTGTAAGTCCCAGGCTACTTTGGGCTCTTCTTCCCATCAACCTGAGGTGAGGAGTGGTGGTCGTGGTTACTTATGCCCCCACCGAAGACGAACATCCGTGGAGGGATGCAGGCAAAGCCAATGAGTCAGATGCCTTCAATGACCTCCTGTCACAGGTGCTGGCTAAAGTGGCCCATCGGGATAGAGTCATCTTGTTGGGTGACTTCAATGCCCGAGTTGATCATGATGCTGTAAGATGCGCCGCCCATTCTTCCGCTCCGGTGGTGGGTGTACACCCAGGACCCCATTCCAACCTAAAGTGGCCTAGTCTCAGTTATCTGATGAAAGTTGCAAGCGAGAATTTTATCATCGTCTGCGGCTGGGGTTGGCATCGTCCCCCACTCCTCCTAATGTCGAGGGTAAATGGGCGAGGTTTAGGACTCATGCGGCTGCAATGTCTGCTTTGGGTACGCGGTCAGGACCTCCCCAAAGACCCTGGCTGACATTGGAGGTGTTCAGGATGGTTGAGAAAAAGCGACAGGCCCACTGTCATCGGCTACAGAATCCCACGTCAGAGAATGAGGAGGCTTACCACAGCCTTCGCTCGGAGGTTCGGAGAGCCATGAGGCGCTGCAAGGATGGGTGGTGGTCGCGGGTTGCTGAGGAGATGGAGTCTGCCTCAGTGGCCCGCGATCACAAATCTCTATTTAACTCCATCAGTATTTAACTCCATCAAAAAGTAACCTGCAGCGCCACACCTATCACCATCATTAGGAGAAAAAACGGTGATCCAATCTTCGACCCCCAGGAACAGGTTTGCAGATTTGCTGAGCATTTCTGTGAGGTCCTGGGGGAGGGAAAATCCCTCAGCCAGAAAAACATTGTGGCACAAAGTGAGGATGACCCTGCTGAGGCTGCGGTGCCTCAAATATTGGAAGACGTCACCCCCTGTGAGTGGCTGGCTGAGGTGCCATCTGTTGAGGAAGTACTGAGGGCGATCCGGAGTCTGAGACCAGGAAAGGCAGCGGGCAGAGATGATCTCCCAAGCGAAATGCTGAGGGAGGGTGGAGTTTGTGCACAGACTGCCCTATATGACATCATAACAACAGTCTGGACCATTGGACGGGTTCGGCAGGATTGGAAGGATGTCCTGGTGGTCCCCCTCTTTAAGAAGGGGGACCGCACAGACTGTAACAACTACAGGGGCATTTCACAAGGGCGGTCCTGCACAGATGCCATATTTTCTGTTCGTCTGCTACAGCAGAGGTATAGGGAATTCCAGCAAGATCTACATCTCTGCTTTATTGACCTGGTCAAGGCCTATGATATCATCAATAGGCCTGGGCTCTGGGTTGTTCTTCGTGCTTTTAGAGTACCTGACCCTCTGCTCACGATCATTAAGGACCTTCATGATGGTGAGCGGGCCCGGGTAAAACTACGTGGCCGGGAGTCCGAGCCTTTCCCTGTACACCTTGGGGTGCGACAGGGATGTCCTCTGGCTCCCACATTATTTAACATCTATTTCGACCACGTAGTTCGTGAAGCCTTCAATAGCTGTACCGGGGGAATCTCCATATGGTACAGATATAATGGGAGGCTGATCGATGCCCGGGTGCGGTCAAGGGATGGCTCCCTATTGCTCAACCACGTTATGTATGCTGATGATTTGGTAATAGCTGCTCATTCAGAGGAGGAGTTGGAGACGCTGCTGCTGAGACTGGAGCGTGCCACTAAGAGATGGGGCCTTACCATCAGCCCCACCAAAACTAAGCACCTACCTGGGTATTTTGTACCATCGGGCACTCCACCCCCACAACTCCCAATCGGTGATGGGGCAGTTGTGGAAAGAGTGGAGAGTTTCCCATACCTGGGAAGTGTGCTTATGACCGGCTCCAGTTTAACAGCAGAGGTCTCACTCCGAATCAGTCGAGCGGCAATATCTTTTCATCGGTTGCGTAACGCTGTGTGGAAGCTACCTGGTCTGTCGCTCCGCACTAAGCTTCAGGTCTTCTCGGCCACGGTCATTCCCTCCCTTCTCTACGCTTGGAAAACGTGGACCCCCCCTATTGGAACATCTTCGCCGGTTAGAAACATTTAGGCTGGCCTGCCTATGATCCATCCTGGGTTTAACCAGACTCGATTGTGTGAGGAGCTCAAAAATCCTTGAAAGATCTGGACAAGGTCCCATCGGTGAGCTCCTCCGGCGGGCAAGGCTGCGATGGCTGGGTCATGTAGCCCTCATGCCCAGCCACCGCATGCCGAAACAGCTTTTGTTCGGCCGGATCGAGGGGGCTAAGCGGGCGCGGCACGGGCTAGAGAAGAGATGGAGTGATGTGGTACAGGAGGACGTGGAGCTGAGTGAACTTGCCGATGACTGGTACCAGCGGTGTCAAGACCAGCCTCTGTGGAGGAGGCTCGTGAAGGATGCTACTGGG